CAGGGTGAAGTGATTCAGCATTCCTTGGCATGTCCTGGAACAAGGACAGTGAGAAGGAGCACAGTCCGCACCCACTGGCCTAACTCCTGGCAGTGCAGAGAAATGTTCTCAGGGCATATTTTGAACGAATCCACCTACACCCCAAAAATGTTCTTACTTGGAGAGGTTTTGCATGGGTCTGAGCCATTTCCTTAAAAAATATTTCATTTGAGAATCTGATATGTTCATTATATACCAATAGTGCTGTGGTAATAAAGAAGTGAGAGTTCTCACAATTAATGCCAGCATTGCAGCTCATCTCTTTCAGATTAAAATATGTAGTTTCGTGGTCTTAGAGAAAGGGATTCCAAAATACCTAGTACTTAAGGGGATTAGCCAAAAACATGAACACTCGTGTTTCAGCTTAATAGCCTGTGTGGATGCTGTCATTCTGCCCTCAGGAGCTGTGGGTTGGCATCAAGACTGTGTCTGAGCGTGTTGAGAGAAGTTTAAGTATTATTAATATATGGGACACATTCCACTGATGTGCAGCTTCGAGGTGCTGAGGATGCCCTTGTTAAGATCTTGGCAGATCATCACAAGCATCTTCCGTGCTTTTGACCTGAGGGAGGTGTTCCTTCTTGAGCTCCATTAGTCAGGAAAAAAGGGGAATGTTTCAAAATAAAGCTAAAGTTAAAACTTGGGGAAAGAATCTTCTGCCTTTTTAGAGTAAAAGCTGGTTCTGGGGCATGTAGTTGCAGGCACGTACAATGCCATAGGAGTTGTGAGGAAAGTGTAAGCCTGCCTGAAAAGCGAGCTCTCTGCGTGGTCTGACAAGTACTGACTTCTCTGCTGAAGACTTGCACCTTGCTAGGAAGTTTTCCAGCTCAAGCAGACATGTACCTAGCAGTGAGAAATAGGCACTTAAGTGAACTTCATTGAACATATAGAAAATATCTCAACTTTTACTGTAAAAATCTTTCCACTGTGCATGTGAACTGATTGCATAGGTCTTTGTGACAAAACATTAGAGTAAAATGAGAGTGTGCTAAAGTCAAAGTGTGCTGTTTAGCACCTGGACTCCCTGTGGTTGTTCAGGGGGGCATCTGTCTTCTTTGGCTCTCCTATTGCAGCTACGTGAGGAACGTGTTGAGAACTGTTAACATAATATGTATCAGTTCTTCCTCCACAGAGGATCTAAGTGGTTGCACAAACACATCGAGGGCAGTGTCTTTTGCAATCTTATCCTATCAACTCCTGTCCTAAGCATAGGTTACCTATAGATGAATGATAATTCTCCAGAAAGGAAACAGACAAACAAGTATCATGCAAAAAGATACATAGAATCACCAAGGTTGGAAAAGACCTCCGAGATCATTCAGTCCAACCGTCCACCTATCACCAATATTACTCACTAAACCATGTCCCTTGGTACAGTGTTTAAATGTTTCTTGAACACCTTCAGGGATGGTGACTCCACCACCTCCCTGGGCAGCCTGTGCCTCACCACTCTCTCCAAAGAAGTATTTCCTAACGACCATCCTGAATCTCCCCTTGTGCAGCTTGAGGCCATTCCCTCTCATCCTACTGCTAGTTACATGGGAGAGGAGTGTTGTGGGAGACAGTGTTGAATGCTTTGCTGAAGTCCTGATAGACTGACTACATCAGCTGCCTTTCCCTCATCCACCATGTGGGTCACCTGGTCATAGAATGAGATGAGGTCGGTCAGGCAAGACCTGCTTTTCATGAACCTGTGCTGGCTAGCCTGATCCCCCAATTGTCCTGCACATGCCCTGTGATCTCCCTCAAGATTATATACTTCATAACCATACCTGGCACCAAGGTCAGCCTGACAAGCCTGTAGTTTTCCAGATCCTGTTACACTGATCAGACAACTGGCGTTGGATCCTGTGATGCTGACTGGACAACAGTTATAATCACTGTTACACTGAGTTATTATCTGTTGTTCACTTACTTTGAATGAAAATGCTGGAAGTTGGTTTAAATACACAAGCACGCTTTCTGCCTTGTACCAAATGTTTTCAACACTAGGTACAGATAAATAAGTCCAAAGAAAATTTAATTATGGTATGTAGTTAGCTTTTCTTTCCCTTCAAAGCTTGGAATGTGGTCATTTTTACAGTTTGTAAGAACTCGCAATGTTTAGAGGCTTGAAGAAACAATGGTAACTTCTGTGCAGCTGGAGGCCCCTGTTCCCCACTGCATTCTTCGCAGGAGACAATTCTTGAGTGCTCCGAATATTTAAATGGTCCCTGGTGTGCTCACCAACTCAGGCAGGATTGTAGTTTGAATATTGCTGTGGTTTTTATGCCTAAACTTCCTGGTGAGAAGAGCAGCAGCTGAGAATGCTCCTTTGAGCAGGAGGTTGGGCTCAGTGACTTCCTGGGGTCCTTGCCACTGAGTGTTTTGTGATGCTGTGTGGTACTTTGTGGAGGTGATGCTGAGGTTCGATAATAACTAAAGCTGAGCAAGCAGACAAGGTGCAAAAGCAGGCTGAATAATTAAAATGTAGTTAGGAGCGTGTCATGAGGGGAACGTTGGGGGATGGCTGTTATATTCGTATGCCACTGCATCTGCTGGGATTTGCCTATTTCTGTATTAAGCTAGAAGTTTAAAGGTATAATTCTCTATTTCCTGGGATAACCAGGCTGCTGGAGATGTTTATAACAATTAGTTTCTCTGGTCAGAATAGGCCAAAAAGGTTCATGTGCTTTGGATGAGTGTGCCTCTATTGGTGTTTCAAAATATTCCTTCATCTTAATCTTTAAATCACCTTGTGCAAGCTGCTGTGAAGAGCAAAGTGTCAGGGAAGGGGCTTTTTGTTGTTCTTAGATGCTCTGAAGTTGTATTTGTCATCTGACTTTAAAAAAAAATAAATAAATAAAAGCATAAGCAAAATAGAAAACGTTTACTATTTAAAATCTGATTACTCTATGTGTGAACAGCTTGAGTCCAGTTGGCCTGCTGTAGATCTGGAAGGGATTCTTTGGGTAAATAACCTTGTATGTTTTCTATTTCAGCTAAAAACAAGTCATTTCTTGAACTAGATTTGCAGTGGCTAAATTCAACAAAATTTTAAATGCAAGCTGAAAGGGCGGTACAAGAAGTCTTGAAACACCACTATTTGCTGCCAAGAGAAAACTTTCATCAGAGTGAGGAGAAATTGTATGGGATTGATTTTAAATTTTAATTATTTCTGGTATACAAGTAACGTAGGGGAGAAAACAGTTCTATCACATAATTTACATTTGTAAGTAGGGGATCCTAGCTTCATGCTCCTTGTGTGTTCTCCCGAATGCATTTTCAGAGAGACTCGGTGCTTCAGCAAGTGAAGTCCAAAAGGCTTGGTGATGGCCATTGTTTTCTTCCCTGTGTGACCTTCAGATGTTTAAAATGCTGTGCCCACAGCCATCATCCTGCACTCCACTGATAGCAGCCTGGGCCAGGGCCTCTAATCCCAGAGGCAGTTAAGTCATCCTGAGTAGAAAGCAGGTCATATTTGTGGCTTCCCAGGCTGCCAGAGAGAGCATGTTGGTGGCAGCAGCTTGTCCCCATCAGCTGTGGTAGCTGTAACCCACTGCGTTGGCAGGGGAGGAAGCCACAGCCCCACCAAGCCCAGCAGAGGATAAGTGTCCTGCTTACAGGGAGGGAAGGAAGGTCTGCTGCAAGGAGCAGTTGTCCAGCTGAACTGATCTCCCACAAGAAATCTAGGGCAAGTTTTAAAATCGACCTGGTTCAGTGTCTGCCAGAGGCAGACCCGGAAGCCTTGCTCTGTCCTGTGGGGCCTTGCTGAGACAGTCAAATTGATATCTAGGGGTATGCAGGAGAGGAGCTAAGCCCAAAAGCACACAGCTGTTTTACCATCTTAGAAAGTCTAGCTTACTTACGAAAAGGAATTTTTGCATGTTGATTCGTATGATTTTCTTTGGAGAGGGACAGTCCTTTGGGCTCTCTGCTTTTTCACTCATCTGTTAAAAAGCTCCATTTTGGGACATCCCAATTCTTCCAGCCAAGAAGAGCTGGATTCTACTCCTGGCTTGCTCAGAAGTGGTTGCTCAAGAGCAAAATGAAGCATTCCTGTCAGGAGTTGGATGCGCAACATCCAATGTGCTCCCAGGGTCAGAGAAAGAGGTCTTAGGCTCGAAAAGAAATCCTCCGCATGGCAGTACATTACGTCAGTACAGAATTGGACTGTCCAATTCTGCATTCCGGTATGAAACACAGCAGCCAGGTGCTATGTCCAGCAACACACAAGTTTAATAAACTTCCTGTTATACTTGCAGACAGAATAAATAGTTCCATAGAGTCTGCTTAACAAAGCCAACTTGCACACCTCTCTGTATTGCAAGTAGAACTGCTACAGTTAAGGGACTGTCAACATTTCCCATATGGATGGATGATTTAGCTGCTGTGCTTCACATCAGGGCTAATTTTGCATTTGACTTACCCGGTGCTGCTGCAAGGTTTCTGTTTTTACCAAGCATAATTTGTATCCACTTGACCATGTCATTCTTGGGCTTGAAAAAGTCTTGAGCAGCAGAAGTGGATCTTTTGCAAATACTTGGTGAATGAGAAGAAACTTAGAGGCAGATGCACACGTGGTCTGGGGATGGCAAGCATTCCCTTTTCTTTGCTTTTAGTTTTAAATGACTCGCTAGTGTCTGCACCCCCAGCTTTCTGTTCGATACTGGACTCACAGTGTTTCTGTAGAAAGCAAACTTAGTGCACTGCGTAATGAGATTTGAATGCAAACAATTAACATTATCTGTTCAGGTGCATTACTTAAACAAAAGTTAACCTTTCTGTGCCTAGGCTGAATGGAACTTTGAAACTGAAGGTTATTTTTTTTCGTTTCTCTGACCAGTGCTGTGGATTGATGTACTGTTGATACAACCGCTTTCTCAGATTTCATGTATGGAAGTCAATGATGGAGTAGTAACTTAATTAATTTGGCCCATACTGACTCAATTGAATACTAATATTTTGACCTTATTCCCTAGGAAATATTCTTCCTGCTACAAAAAGTTGGAATGCATGGCCATCCCTGCGGCGTGAGCCATGTTTATGACAAGCTTTCAGAAAGATAATATTTCACATGTAAGTGCATGGCTGATGGTTCTTAACACATTTTATATGATCAGAAAGAGGTATAGGCCATCATTTTCCTATGTCTTTTGATATTCCTTTTTTTCCCTTTTTTTTAGTATACTGAGAATTATACTGCTGTGTGCACTGTGACCCAAGAGTGACAAGGATGTGAATCCTGTGCATTGCTGACCTCGCCTGGGCTGACTCAGACTCTCAAACCTCAGACCTCATTGCAGAGAACAATTGCATCTACAAAGGTATTGAAGCAAGCAACTCCTTTGATACTTTTGTGCACCTAAAGCCTTGCAGTAGATCCACCAGCCTCCATTAAGGAGAGATGTGGGAAGCTGGGCGTCTGTTACACATTGACCAATCCATATAGTCTAACTCAGTAATCACTGAGCTGAAATCCGCCTGGTTATCTCAAGAAGGTGAAGGAAACTGGGCTAGAAATTATGTTTTGTGAGAACACAATGCAAATTCCTGAACCATTTTCAGTCTGGAGAGCAAGTTATTGTTGTACAGTTGATAACACTTCATGGAATCTTATTTTCTGTGCCTTAAGGGAAATACAATTAAGTGAATTTCTATTTTAAAACACGACTCTTTCCTGTCACTGATGAAGCAATAACAATTACAGAGCACGGGATTTTCTGGGAGCGTTGAGTGCTTGTTCTCATTGGTCTTAATTTTACTGCTTCTATTTGAGTCATATCTATAATATTCTCTGAGGTAGCCTACTAGAAACCTTACTGATTTTACTGGTGACTCCTGGCTGGTGTGTACTTGCTGCCCATTAAGGCTAGATGAAGGGCACATCCCATAACTGCAGGTGTCAGTATTGGAGGTGCTGTGGTATTTCTGGACAGGGCTGTACATGATAGTAGCTGAGGTTTAGAATCACAGAATCATGAAGGTTGGAAAAGACCTTTAAGATCATCTAGTTCAAACATCAACCCAGCACTAACATGCCTACTAACCCATGTCCCTAAGCATCTCATCTATGCGTTTCTGGCATCTGTGCCATGGACTGCTGCTGGCATCCAGATGAGTTTGTTTCTCCACATTGAGAACTGACCAAAGATTGTTCACAAGTGGTGCAAGTCCATTGTCCAGTCCTTGCCTTTCCACACTTATCATGGCTCAGCAAATACAGAGATTTGAATCTAACATGACAAGAAGCGTCAGAATTGGGGATTAATTCTGTGAAATAATTTCCTTGATGGGATACTGCCAGGAAGCTTGACTCTGCATTCTTTAGACGCCCCAGGTTCCCATTAAACTGCATGGAGAGGGCAAGGAATGCAATACAGGCTTGTAATCGTTTCAGTTAGATAGAGATATCTTAGCACGTAAGTGGGATGCTCTCAAGAGCCTGCTTGTGCCAAAACGATGACCCTTCTAGGACTGGGACCATTTATAGAATGCTGATTTTTAGAGCAGAGCACGTTTTTATAGCTGACTTTTGTAAATGTGAAATACCAGGCGAATTAAGCTTGACAGTGCTGACAGAGCCTTAATTAAATCAGTGTGAACAGTATCAGTCTTGCATAACTCTGTTTCCATCAAGAGCATCAGAAATTGAGATTTTTTTTCTTTGTCCCTTGTAAGAGATGAAGTTCTGACAGCTTGTTCCCATTTCCAGTACTGCTGGTTCATTAATTCGCATCCATAACTCTAAGCTTTCTACTTCACTCCCCATCTCTCTTGGTTCTCTGTTTTGCTTCCTTAGCATTGACATCTTGGCTCATTCCCTACAGCTATATACTGGCTACAGAGAGTTCAAATATGCCTTTCCTGTAACCCTTCTGTCCCTCAGTTTAACCACAGAGGGTACAAATCTGCAGTCCCTAGCAAGATCTTGCAAAGTGCTAACTGCACTTGGAGTTGGTGTTCAGTTCTTTGGGGGGTTTTTTGGGGACCAAGTCTCTAGACAAAGCTGTCTTTTGAGTGCAACGAAAATTCAGCAATAGATAGAGTGTTGGGCCAGGGCTGCTCCAAAATGACAGCAATCCACATGACTTCCATGAAATGGGTGCAGGCTAATTGCTGAGTATTTTAAAGTTAAAGGTGATGAAATGTCTAGTCTTGCTGTCAGAGACTTGTCTTTTACCTGTCTGCCTGCACACAAGGGGGACTTCTGCATGCCAGCCTTTGAGTCATGCAGCAGGATGAGGGCAGCCATGTGTGCAATAAAGCACAAGCTAGGGCAGAGTCCTCTGGTTACTGAATGAGGGGCAAAAATTCTAGCACTCCCTTGCAGTAGATCACATCTTTCTCTGGTTTTGAAGTCCGCTAAAGCAGCTGGAAACAAGGAGGCAAGAGCTGTCTCTCTGTCATGGCCTTTACGTAAAGTTAGGGCAGGAAATGCTCATGTGATTTGTGCAATTCCAGCCAGCCTGGCTTTTCCCCAGGGGTCTGGATGCCAGTTGTCCTTGTGGCTTGACAGCCAGGGAGCACCCACTGTTGACGGAGAGCAGGCAGCATGAGTCTAGCTTTGTCTTGTCTGATGCCACATGCAAGTCTCCCCAGGAAAAGGAAATTTCCAGCTGCTACCAAAGACAGCTTGAAGTCTTCTTTTCTTCTGGAACGGTGCAAGAGGAACTTAACATGGATGTGATATCTGGGATCTGGCCTGAAATCTCTTCTTCAGCTCAAGAAATAGGTTGCCTGTCTCCCTCTAAACATTTTTGGCTGTCTCTCCTTAAAAGCTTTATAGAGTTTCACAAAATGACTCTCACATTCAGCACTGCAAAACAGATAAACAGGGGGAAGCTGAGAGTGCAGAAATGCGTAAGGCCTGTGACTGACTTGGTAGTGCACGGGTGGTCACATGGGTTGACTTCACTTCTGCTCTCCCTTTCTGTCTTCTGCGTGCTTATCCCATTGATGTCCCTGATCTGATCATTCTGTGATGAGTTAGGCTTGATCAATGCTATGAACTTTGCGAGTGTTTTCTGGGAACATATGAACCAAGTTTTAGGGTGTGCCATAGTGCCATAGTGTCCTAAAATCCCAGCGTTTCTCTGGCTACTGTTCATCTTCTTGTCTGTTCTCCATTTAGTTCCCTTTTGATTTTGCGTTCAGTCGGACTGCATCATGTAGAAAGCAAAGAAAGAGATTTTGTGGAAGACTACCAGAAGATTGTAATCTTCTGGTCTTATCTCTCATTCTAGACATATCCTGAAATGACTCGTTCTTTCTTCTCTTTTTATTTTCACAGTGTAAGCATTTCACAGAGGAGGTGACATCTTCCAGTGCTGTAACATTTCGTCTCCCTATGTCTTCGCATTTTTTTCCACTTTCTCATCTGCGTGTTACAAACTTAATTGAACTGCACAATGACTTTAAAAATACAAATTCTAACAAAGACTAATGAGGATGTTTCTTGGCAGTTGGTCACTGTTTTGCCTTGGGCCCATAACTTTACTTGCTGCACTCCGCTGGGTGCTTAGTCCATGGTTATGTATAAAGATAACTACTTTGAGATGATTGTATCACAGTTTCTTTGTATGCTTTCAGAAGGATTTAACCTTGTATAATCTGCCCATTATGACCACATTTTCCAACAATAGGAGGCTGCAGAATACAGTACAACAGTGTCAGCATTCCTGTTTCTGTTCATTCTGTCGTTATATTTAGGTTCCACTGAGCCAGTTTGAGAGCACACAGAAAAGAAACACAAGCTCAAAGCAATGCTGTCAGTTTTAGTCCACAAGCAAAGATGGCAAAGGCAGTATATGAGGTGTGTGATTATTTTTTTTTTTTCTGTCTAAAACTGGCTGCGAGAATAGCATAAGCTTAGGTGAGACCCTTTTTATCTAATCATCCACATCAAGTAATTTTCTGATTTGGTTGGACCAGCCTTACATGAAGGCATTGGAGAATCGTTGCAGCACCTATCATTTTTCTTTATGGGATTGCTGGCAGCTTTCCACAGACCGTGTATCTTGCAAGCATGAGCATGCAGAGTCTGTCTTTTGAAAGCATAGGGAACTTCCTATTCTTCTTGTTGTCTTATGACCTGTTTTCCACAAGCAATACCACAATACTTTTGTAGCAAAGCAATTTGTCGTGATCTGCTTATTTCTTCTGCAAGTATGGTTAGCAGTTGCAGGAGTCATATTCCACTTAAGATTAGAGTAGAAATAACTTAGCCTTAGTTTCCTGTCTGATTAATACTGTAAGTGATGTTTAAAGAGTTGAGCAGTCATGTTCCTTTGAAAGACCTTTTCCTTTGAAAGACCTTTTCCTTTGCGTTATTGTAAATGAACACCTTCGTTTACAAGACCTTCTGTCTTCAGTGAAAAAGCTCTCCCTCGGGAATCTGAGACCCTGGAGGTTAGTGAGAGGATCTTGGGAATGGAAGACCTCCCTTCGGTCAGGGAAGAGGTGGTCCAGGAGCGCCTAGGCAACACCAATGTTCACAAATCCATGGGACCCGATGGGATTCATCCACGGGTGCTGAGGGAGCTGGCAGAGGTGATTGCTGAACCGCTTTCTGTCATCTTTGAGAAGTCTTGGAGGACGGGGGAGGTGCCTGAAGACTGGAAGATAGCCAACGTCACCCCGGTCTTCAAAATAGGCAAGAAGGAAGACCCAGGCAATTATAGGCCAGTCAGCCTCACCTCTGTCCCTGGAAAGGTGATGGAACAGCTTGTATTGGATGTCATCTCCAGACAACTGGAAGAAGAGGAGGTTATCAGGAGTAGTCAGCACGGGTTCACAAGGGGGAGGTCGTGCTTGACCAACCTGGTAGCCTTCTATGATGTTGTCTCTGGCTGGGTGGATAGGGGGAAAGCAGTGGATGTAGTCTACCTTGATTTCAGCAAGGCATTTGATACCGTCCCCCACGACATCCTTATAACAAAGCTGAGGAAATGTGGGATAGATGAGTGGACAGTGAGGTGGGTTGAGAACTGGCTGACTGACAGAGCACAGAGGGTCGTTGTTGGTGGTGAGGAGTCCGGTTGGAGGCCTGTAACCAGCGGTGTTCCTCAGGGGTCTGTGCTGGGTCCGGTCTTGTTCAACATCTTCATCAATGACCTTGATGAGGGGATAATGGCCACCCTCAGCAAGTTTGCTGATGATACGAAGTTGGGAGGATTGGCTGACACGCCTGAAGGCTGTGTTGCCATTCAGCAAGACCTGGATAGGCTGGAGAGCTGGGCAGAAAAAAACCGGATGAGGTTTAACAAAAGCAAGAGTAGAGTCTTGCATCTGGGGAGGAATAATTCCATGCACCAGTACAGGTTGG